TTCTTGTACCACGGGGGCTAATGCATACTTTTATCCCACTAAATTCTCCGTCCATATTAGTCATGGGCATCATACGTCCAATTGTGGGCTTAATATTGGCCAACATGATAGAACTCATGATTTCGGGAATGGCATCCATCGTCTTATGATCATTGTTTTCCACCTTCAACGTTTTTCCTTTACTCCTTGGGGGTTGTCTCTCACTTTAGACCTCCAGTTGTTTAGGGGTTTTAACCACTAGCCAATTTGGTCTTTCTAGAGCTCCCTCCATATCTATAATCATATTAAATCTTGACCCATCTTATTATTCTCTCTTGGGATATCTGGTCATTTGCCTGGTAGGATAAGACCCTTACTTCTAACTTTCCTCCCCTTGCATTGGATTTGCATCCATGGACCATAGTTTTCATCTGGCGTCACCACATTATCCTGTTCCCTGGGGCCTGTGCTTCCACTATTGCCTAAATCAATCTCCGTCTCAACATTTTTCTTGCATTGGCCTTTAAGGTGCCCATAAACTCCACAACCGAAGCATATAACAGGCAAACCTTTATATTCCACTCTCTGTAGGCGCCCATCTAGCATGAACTTAGAAATGAGTGGTTTGGTCAGGTCAATTACAACCGTCAATCGAGCAAATTTACCCTATTTTGTGGATTCAGTATTACATCAATGTGAAATACCTTTCTTATCACCCTGGAAATAGCTCTGAGCAGACTCTTATGGTAATAATGGATGGAGAGGCCAGGAAAACGCACCCAAGCCACCACATTAGTTACATCAGGGTTAGCAGTAGAGAAACTGGGGGACCAAGGCTACACCATGAGGTAATGACCATATATAACCCATGAGCCATCTGTCAGAACGTGCAGGTAGTCCTCTGTCGAGTGGAACTTGACCATATAGTAATCATTATCGAGGTCAATCAGGTGTAATCGATCAGTGGACTTTCACAGGCTATGAAGTTTTGCCTAGAGTGCTTTATACCCAGTCGGCTTCCTAAGCAGTCGAGTAATCACCATAAGTTTCATATTTTGTGCTAGGAGATTATGCACCTTATTCGAAAAACTGATTCTCGATATTCCATTCTCCATGCCAAAAGTAACATTCCTGTCCCTGAT